TGTCCCAGTTTTCAAGCAAGAGAGCTTAAAATTTCAAACAAGAGAGCTTAAAATGTCAGATATTTCCAACAGGGCACAATGCACCACATGCCTACTCAGTTTCAGTTGTGGATTAATTTTAGTAATTTTAAGACCCTCCATTATCAAAAGTTGGTATTCAGTGGCAATATAATACTTATCATATAATAGAAATGTACTACCTTGAAACCTTGTCAAGAAAACCCAAAGGAGGCCTCTGGAATCAGAAAGAGGTCTTTTTTTTATCTGAACAGAAATACTGTCTCAGAAGCAACAAGAACTACTTCATTCATACATGTTCCAAACATTAACAAACCCTGGTGGTAACTCAAAGGAAGCTAGCTATGCTTTCACCTCATCAAAATCCATGCAAGTCAAAGTCATTGTTAATGATCCTTACTATCCATTGATTTTCCCAGGGCTCAATCATGCTTAACATTACCTGAATTGCTCACACCACAGCACACACTATAGCTATAACAAACTATGCAGCTAATTTAACATACGTCAGCAAATGCACTATTATCCAAAATAAAAATACCTCAGAAGAATAATTTCAACTGTGATATATAGATATATACATACAATTTACTGCCAATGTTTCAGAGGAGATACTAATGTTTTCTATTGCACCTGGCCACCTCGTTTTTTAACATTATGAAAACATTACTCAAGGCTTGTGCAAAACAAATGACTGTGCAAAGAAATGTGTCAGCCATTATGTGTTCAGGAACATCCCACCTACAGCTGTGAATGTTGCTGCTAATTAATCTGTCATGGCATTACACGAAAAAAGGATCTGGGCCAGAGGAGTACACAGTGTAATAATCCATATGCCTTTTACACAGTGTCATGATTATCTAAAGGTCTCAGAGAGCTGCAGATGGATGGGATCCTATTTTGACATCCTTACTCTGACACAGTTTCCTTGGCACCATGTTCTATTCATGATGCCACATGGCAGCATCCTTTGAGAGGTGCCCATATGACATCCTGTAACTTTTTGGGAAATCTGGACTGAAAAATGCACATGATTCTTCCCATGAACTATTCTGACCATCTCCTAAGGTGATGAGTACATAAAAAAGCAAGCAAACAAACAATACTGAATACCTTTTATTGCCAGAAGCAGAAAATACCTAGTCTCAAAAGAGCAGGAAAAAATGAGTAAAATAATAGTGGACTTTCAATGCAATGGTAGGAACACGAAAACCCATAAACAGTATTTGCTTCTCCCTCTCAAAACCATTTCTGTCCAAGACAACCAAGCATCTCAGTAACAAAACTAAAACTGAATGAATGAATTGGCTGTGTGAATCAACTGAGTACATTAATAGTCGGCGAAACAGCAACACAATCACATCATTCACCCATTCGGAGAAGCCTGAATACACATCCAGGGTTTAAGTGATCCTGTAACAATTCTTCAGGCACCATCACTTTCCATTGTAGGTCTTCTGCAGGTTCTGTTTAATTGAATCTATTCAAACTAGAAGGAGGCAGGAAGGTTGTAATAGAAAAACCAGCAACTGCATTTATTCTGCAACCCTAATTTCAATTATGGAATGAAAAGGAATATTTGCCAAGGTAAGAGGCTATTTGCAGTGAAAGCTGTGATTAAGTGACTATAATATTATACAGAAAGGTTCTCCAAATGTCTTCTTATGCTCTTTTAAAACATATTTCTATAACAGATACTAGTGGTATGTGAAAAATCGAAAGACACAGTCAAAAAGGCCAAACTGCTACATTCAGCAAACAACCACCATGTTGTTTCAAGTAAACCTTCTTCTGACCTAATACATTTGTACACATCTACTGAGATAAAGGATACAAATCTCTCCATTCAATACCAAAACAAAAACGTAAGAAAAGAGTCCACATAGTCATTAGTCTCCAGCTTAAAACAGACCAAAAGCGGGAAAAGCCTATTATTTTAATTTCAATTTATTTCAATGCTGCAACTGGTCAATTTATATTTTCCTTTATTATTAATCGCCACTGATAAAGTTTTATACATCATTTTTTTAAAGTTTTCCCTGAATTACCCATGGCAAATGTATACTTTGTAATTTAATAAATAGATTCTGAAATAAAACATTTCATTAAGTTGTCAAACACAGAAAAATTGTAGGGTTTTTCACTTTATGCTCTAATATTATATTCATTCACCAGAAAAAGCTCATAGAAAATGTTCTATTAATGCTACGGAAAGCAATACTACTGTACTGTAGGTGTTTTGGTTAGTTTACAGGGACAGGACATTCTTGAGTATAACTGATACGCTCCACTAGGAAAAAAGGATTAAGTGTAATCCTATATAGAAGACACACTTCCCTGAGAGTAAATCCCATTGAATTCCTCAAGACTTCCTTCTGAGTAGGTATCTCTACAACTGCAAAGCAAGGATGATGAAAAAAAGAGAAGAGGGCTAGACATTCAACACAGATCACAAACACCCTGGACACTGAAACAGATTTAGCCTTGCAAGAGCTATGAAAAGTAACTTCTCTTCTTCTTTATTCCAGAACAGAGATGGTTGTCAACCAATGGTAAAATTCAAAGAGAGCCCCTTCTATATAAATCTTCCCCAATTATTAGACTGCTATTCAAACAATTGAAAGGAATGAGAAACATTCTGCTTTCAGTTTTTCCTTCTCTGCCACGCACTCCTAACATCAGAACAGAAGGTTCTGGTCCTGCCAGGCTATCCAGCATGTTTAAAAAAAAAAACAGTCTCCAGACACACATAGGTGTTTTTTTTTTTTTAAAGAAGTAGTATATCACTTGCCCCACCCACCTCCCAAAGCAGTAATTAGAATTAGAAAAGCTCTGATGTAAGGGATTGCAGCCCTCCAGATGGAGCTCATGGGCACAGGTGGTGTCAATCACAGGCAGCACTAGAGATGGCAGCCTTGCCAGACATGGAAGAGTTCCCAGTCCGGGAGGGAGAATATGCCGAGTGGGGAGCCTTCTTGATTGGTAATACTGTATGTGTGAATTCAGGCTTGATCAGGGCAGCACTAACTGTCGTCGGGGGCAGCACGGTTTAGTCAGCAAGTTGCTCGCAAATATACTCATCCGTGGGAAGATGTGCCGGATGGCTAGAGAAAACGTAGCTCTCACTCCTCCCTTCTACTGCCCTAACTAGGAGGGGCTGGGGTTGTTCCACGAGCCCCCCGCCCCCACCCCGCCTTTTGCTTTGCAATGACACAGGCAGCCACAGCATTGAAAGGGAAGGACTTCTTGCCTCCTGTTTCTCTAGATCAGGTCTCTCAGCCCTAACCCGCTGCAGACTACAACACCCACCATCCCCAGGCAGCTCAAGACAAAGGGAAGCCACCAGGTTGGATAAGTATCAATGATTTTTTTAAAAATCAAATCCACCCTGGAGGCTACTACATTGGGGGCTCGGGAGGCTTGTCAAGTCAAATTGTGGGCCATTTCCTTTTCCCATTCTCCTGGGGGGGGAAGCACAATGGGAAAGGCTAAGATATTGTATTGGTTGCCACCTAAGGTGAGAAAGAGCTGAGGAACATGGCAGCAGTAAAACACTGTTCCTGCTGTCATGAGAAGAGGCAGAGAAAATGCAAGAGCAGGCTGCAATGTTACCTTCCAGCCCTGTCTGTCTGTCTGTCTGCCTCCCTCCCTCTACCGTATAAGAATCCTGACTCTCTGCTGCAAGGACGCCAAATTAATAAGCTGGCAACACTGCAAGGATAGTCACTGAGGTAACAGTACAGGGCAGAGGACAGCATCAGCCAGCTCCACTCTAGAGATGTAGGGTATTGGCAAGGCAAGACCCATGAGCATCATCAATCAAAAAAGGAAAATGCCAAATGGGTGAAAAGTTGAAAGGATGTGGAGGGGGGGAGAAACCGGCTGCCTAGACTGTGACTTACTTCACTGGGGCTGCCAATGCAGTGAGAAGTAGAAGACAAGGCAGGTTCCCCTTCAAAACCTTGAGAAACAAAAGGAGAGGGGAGGAGGTCGCATAAGGTTTGAGGACAGGCCTCCCCTGGGTTTTTCCCATTGCATTCAATGTTTTGTACCCTGCTTAGAAATAAATAAATAAATAAAACAAAACCAGAAGCCTGCAACTCAAGGAAAGGAAAGTAGTGGCCAGGATTGAGACACTGGGCAAACCCCAAGGCTAACAGCCAAGTCTCTCCCCCCAACACACACACAGAGAGACACACACTGTTGTTTTCTGGCTGCAACATAATTATTCCAGCATAAATGTCATGACAAATTAATGAAGCAGCCAAGCCTTTTGAAGCAGAAGCACATTCCCCTCCTTCCTTGGCCCAGAGAATAAATGGCTGTAATCCTTAATACCAGACATTACCCTGCCATGCTTAGTAGTCATTAATTGGACAGGATCTTTTTGACAAGTGGAATTCCCTGCCTTCTGCAAAACAAGGAGGACACGGTTTTGGAAGCCAAGGCATAGCACACCAGTATTGCCAGCGGCATCTGGATTTAACACCTCTAGAGTAAACAGGGGGGTGCGCGCACCGAGAGAGAGACGCAGCAGCTCCAGTATGAAACCACTGGTTTAGACAACACTGAAATGTCCTAGAAAACCAGGGTCCCCTTTCAAGGAAAGAAGTTGAAAAACTTTCAAAGCCACGACACATTCAAGGTTAATGAAACAGTGCAGTTCATTTATGGCCACCAGCTCACCCTTCCAATAAAGCAGAAACCATAAAGGAGGAGGGAATAGACATGTATTGCTTTCTCCTGTTCCAAACTGGTACAGGAAGATTGTGGCACTGTTTTCAGAATGAAGAGAGAGGATAAACACAAGGAACTAGGGTGTTTTTTTTTAAAAAAACAAATCCACATATTCTTAATTAAGGCAATGTTCTTCATTTGTAAAACATACCATGCTTCAATAAGGGAGGGGGGGAAGAGAAGGAAAAGGGACAAAAACAGGGAGGTACATTTCCCCTCCCGTTTTGTTATGTTTTGCTGCGTACCTGAAATGCAGACGATGAAATTGGCTTGCAGAAGAAAAAGCACCTCCCAAACAATTTCCATCCTCTGATTCTCATGCCAAGTGCATCCCTCGACGAAAAAAACCAACAAAGATCAATATCGCAGTTTCAATGCGAATCCCAGGAAATCTCCTTCCGGACTTGCAGCCTGTATTCCCCAGATGTGCTGACACATGTCCAAGCTCTCCCTCCACGCAGCAACTCAAACGAGATCCCTTCTCTTCCCTTGCCCTCCAGCAAAGACCAAGGAGCCAACCGCCAGCACCGGCTTCTTCCTCCAGGAGAGCGAGAAAAATCCACCAGATCTCCCAACAAGACATAGACAAAGAGCCCCAGATATAATCGCGACCACGGCAGACCAACCGATCCCCTTTCTCCAGAAAGTCTCGATGCCGGGGGGGGGGGAACCCAAACTGCAAGTTGTCCCCAAACTCTGCACGTCTCACTGGGGCGCCGGCAACGCGATCACCATCCCAGCATCTTCCTCCTCTGCCCGCTCCCTACGAAACGATCACAAAGAGATTAATACACATTGCAAAGGATTTAAGCTTCCGTCTTTTGTTTTGCATGGTATTTCACCTACATCTACAGACGAGAAGGGGGAGTGCGGGGGGGGGAGAGATGCAAGAGAAAGGATAAAAAAGCAAACCCAGATCTCCTTGCCAAAAAAACAGCTCAAGCGCCTGCTAATTCCCCAGTCAAGCCAAGGAGGCTTTCCGCAATGCAACTGCAGGGGTCGTTCTTCCCTCACCTACCTATCTTTTCCCCCCACCGCCTTTCCTTCTTTCTATCCTGGCGGCGGCGGCGGCGGGGGTGGGGAGAAGTAAGATTCATAGCTGGATGCGAATAAAATAAATAAATAGAAAGCCCAGCTTCTCCTGGCGTTTCCAAATATTTCTTCCCAGTCCTTGCTTGGCACTTAACCACTTTATTGGGGTTAATAAAATCCGCAAGGCACCCAACGAAATTAAGGAGGGGGGAAGAAAGAAGGCAACAGCCCTTTATAACATATTTATCCCCAATACAGTACAATTTATCCACAGGCTCCCTCTGCCTCTTCAACTTGACTGACGTGGCCCCCCTTCCCCCCCCGCCCATCCAACCTCCCCAAGCCCCACTTGCGGGACCGACGCGGACCGGACAGTCGTGCTGCCGACGTGCGACGCCCCCAATTTTACACGCACGAAATGGCAAAATAAGGGTAACAACTTGGCGCTACGGTCCCGGAGGGCCGGGAGGCGGCGGCGACTTCGCGAAAGTTGTCGCTGCCCGCTCCTCATCTCTGGCGGGAGCCAGAGCGCAAGCCCTTCGGCCCGCAGCTCAAGCCCTCGGCCGGGTCTCCTCAGAAGTAAAAAAAGAGAAAAGCGCCCTCCGCCCAAAGCGGCGGACTCCCAACGGAGGGCGCCTGCTCCAGGATTCTTCAGACGCCCTCCCCCCCCCTCGGTCCCCGCCGTCCGGCACGCGCTTACTCGGGAGTCAGTCCCCTTAGAGTCGGCGGGACTCCTCTCGGGGAGCTCCGTGAGGGGATGGGAGCCGCAACGTGAGGCTCCTCCCGGCCGGGCTCCTGGCAATACTTACTTCCTCCCCAAAAGCTCCGGCCTCTCCCTTTGCCTCAGAGGCGCCGGCGGCGCGGGTCGCCCTGTCCAGTCGCCCTCAGCAGTGGCGGAGGCGCCACAAGAGCGCGCGGACGAGCAAAAGCGCCCGGCGGCCTCCGCTCCGCTTTGCGGCAATGGTCTCCTCAGGATGCTTCTCAGGATGAGCCCGCCCGCTTGCTTGCTTGCCTGCCTGCCTGCCTGGCCTCGCGTCGCCTCTTTTCGCACAGGCGTCCGCTCAGGGGACCCGTTCCTTTCAAGCTGCGGGAGGGCGCCCGAGCCGGGCTGCCGGGGAAGCCGCGCCGCGCCGCGAGCAAAGCCAGCGCACCGCCCGAGCGGCAGCAGCAGCAGCAGGAGGAGGCATGGAGGCGCGAGGCAAGCGCGCGTGAGAGACAGAAAGAGAGAGAGAGAGAGGGCGCGAGCCAGCGGACGAGCCACCCGCTACGGGAGGCGGCGCGCGCTGCCCCGCAACCCCAGCGGCGGCGGAGGCGGCAAGCGGGCAGCCCCGGCTCTTCTTCTGCCCAAGCTGGAATCCTCGCTCGGAGGGAACGGCGGGAGGGAGGGAGTTCGGCGGGGCGACGGGGCGAATTTAGGCATGACCACTACTCAGAAGGAAGCCCCCGTGAGGTCAATGGGTTTTTTTTTTCCCCCTCTCCAGGCAGGGGAGATGTACAGGTAGCATTGCAGCCTGAGAGGCTGTCATCTGATTAAATATATATATATATGATCGGGGCACTTCTTCCCACTGCACTCAAGAAGGGCATGCTTCTGAGTAGAACAGTGGGCAGCAGGTCTCAAATGAAAGCTGCTGCTTCCCTTTGGCAGCCTAAAGGTTCCTTCCCGGTTCGTTTAATTCAGTGCGTGATTCTTTTCATTTTACTTTTGCAACCGAGAAGTGCCAGGTTTTTGTGGGCGATGACTCTGCGGCGAGAAAGTTCAGGCGGGAGGGGCGCCGCCGTGACGAAGCCTAGAAAACGCCGTCCTAGATTTAGAAGTGAGGGCCCGAGTCCAATACCCATCCCTACGTGTACGTCTTGCCTCGGTGTAAGTCCGGTTTACCTCTTTGGGGCTGCTTTCTGAGAAGATGTAGGTAGGATTTGCACGATAAGGTGACCCATGCCATATAGGAGGGTGGATTTCAGGGCTTTGCCGGGCGACCGCTCTTCCCCTTAGCGCATCCTGCCCAGAGTGGGTAACCCGAAGTGCGAGAAAACGCAGCGACTACCGATTGATCGCCCACACTGGGGCCAAAGGAGAAGGAAAAATCACGGAGATTTGAATGATCATTTCCAAACTATCCTATTTACTTGGAGACCCACTTTGTTCAACCTTCCACGCGCGTGTGTATACGTATGATGATCCCCCCAACACACACACACACACACACACACACACACACACACACACACACACACACACACACACACACACAAAAAATCGGGAG